GGCCCCCCCCCCCCCCCCCCCCCCCCCCATAAATAATGACCGGCCCCTTAGCTAATGCTTAAATTTAGCGTGCATGATGAGCTATCGATTATATTGTTTCGATTGGACGAAAAGTTCTTTCTAGTCAGTCTCCTACTCTATATCCCCAGGGATGTATCCAGCATGATCTGGTAGGGGGGTGCTCTTCCAGCTCTGGTGCCGAGTTGTGTCGGTCATGTGTGCAGCCCGCCCATCAACTTGCTTCACTAGTACTGCAAATCTTGCTTGACTACTGTATTTGAATTGTAATTCGCTTATCATCACAGTTCGCTTATCATCATGTTATTGCTCAAATTACTGTATCTCACTTTGTCTCTAATAATTTTTTGCTTTATCATGAAAAATAGCACACACACCTGAGCCCCCTCTGACCAGGGCTAGGGGGGCACATCCCCCCAGTAAATCCATCCCTGTATATCCCTACTATATCCCTAACACCCTTAGCCCTTTAGGCGAAAAAAATCTCTCAACCACAATCTTAATTTGCTTTCTCCTAGGGCATTGTTTTGATCCAGACCGGTGAGAATTGATTACTGTTTTCCTGTTAATATAACTTGCTCATATAAGCATTTTATTATGAATTCTGGATTTTTTGGAAGCAAAATTTTAGTTAATAATTTCACCTTGTCTTGACCTCTTCCTTCACAGTCATGAGATGTTGTGGAACGGTGTTCAAGGCTACACAGTACAATAAATAAATGAAATAGATAATTTAGGGACTGACTACATGAGCGGAGTCGTCCCGGATAGCCACCTAGCCTTTTAGAAAGCAATTCCTACCAAAATATTGCTGAACAGTCGTTACAGGTAAATGGCAGAAAATCTGTAAAAAACAAATTTTGGGACATTTTTCAATATGCTACCAAGATATTACATATTCGAGAAAAGATTTCTTGCAAAAAAAGTTTTACAATATTAATTTACCGAGCTGTTTACATGATGAAACTGAACATTGTTTTCCAACTTCGATTTCCGCCATTTTGGTTTCAAAGTACGCGGGCTCGTATAGAACTTGGTCGGGGGGGGGGGAGGAGAGTAGAATATTATTGATGATCGATTATTGATTCAAAGTATTCTGAAATGTTTGTTCCATGTGCGAAAGAAAACGACGTTATTTTTGAAGGATATTCGTTAATTCTGGTAAGTTTTTTATTTTACAACTATTACTTGTACATAGGCACTACAGTGTCAATTTATTGATCAATCACTGAGGATCTGTTTGTGTTTATATATAGTCGGCCATTTGGCCCGGCTTGACTCTTGAGGGCATGTAGTAAAACACTGACTACCGGAACACTGGAACACCACCATTTTGTTTGGGGTTAGGGTTGGGGTGGGGGTTTTGGGTGGTGTTCCGGTGGTGTTCCGGTAGTCAGTGTTTTACTACATGCCCGGCTTGAGTGCTTGGGACAGCTTGCTTGCTATATTATTAAACTTCAGAATACCTGGCCACTTAAAATCAAACTTTTTAACCCGCGGATACATGGCTATGCGGCTATATGGCTACCTGCATGACTATGTGGCTACCTGCTATGACCCACAGGTCCCACACCCACCTCTTCTCTAACTTTCAGCATTGCCTTAGTTGAACCATTGGTAAACCTGTGCTAACCCTTAAAAAAATACCTGTGGTTCCGGTTTCATATCGTGAAAATAATTTTTTTTTAAATATTTTTTTCATGGTTTTAAACTTTTTGTTTTCTTTCAGCCAGCAATTTCCATTGGCAATGTCGGACAGCTGGCAATCGATCTGTTGATATATAACCTTGACTTAAAACAAGTTGGTTACCTGTATGATAGTAGTATATTACCATTGGTTGGCAATGATCCTTTCACCTCACCTAAGATCCAACAAGGAAACCTTGTGACAAGTGCTGAAGGTACGAGACTCCGTATATATGTCTGATCGAGTCATGCATCGGTCCAGCATGCCTGATTAAACCAAATGTTATACAGTAATGTTAAATATACCAGACAGTGGCGTAGCCAGCCTGACAATTTAGTCCCGCTATGCAAATTCAGAATTATTATCATAATATGATTATTCATTTCTTTAGAAATTGATTGTTTTCACAGTCAATGAACACGAAAATATTTCCATAGCGGGACTAAATCGTCGGGCTAGCTACGCTACTGATAAGTACCAGAGCCTGAAATAATTAACGGTTGGACAGCAATTAACCTTCGTGAGAGACTTGGTTAATTAACCATATAAGCTGCATGCAATCACTGTGTAAAAAACATTAAATGTATATATATATAAAGTCGATATAACAATACTGGCTAGTGTTTGGCATTGTAAGATGTTATTTATATATTGACTTTATTTACCCATTGAAGGCATGAAATCAAATTGCAATCGAAAGGAGTCCAACCAAATTTTTAAAACTGTTAAAAAAGTGTTGGTCGGACATTTTTCCAAGTTTGGTCGGACATTTTTCCAGACAAATTTTGAATGTTATTTTAGGCTCTGCTGTATTGTACATAGTCAGTACAGTACCCTCACTGACATTCCAGCTCTCTCCTCATTTCTAGACTTATACCTCCCAATCTCCAGACATTAATTTAAACCTCCAGATTTTCCATAAAGATTGGCTTATCATTAAGAAAATATGTTTAACTTTAACATATTTTAGTAGATACTCATTCTGTAATTTTAGTTTGAGGACCTTCCTGAAAATCACTTCATGTGACGGAAGCTTTCCTCATGAAAAATAAATTGTAATTATTATTTTTAACCCATTAAATGCCAGCACTCTATCTCTCCTTGACATTAGTCTGGCATTAGACAGAGTAAAATTATAATAAATTATGGTAGGGGACATTAGGGTATTTAGGGTGCAATGCAACCTTTATCATTTTTTAATCAAGTCTTTGTGTTATAAAGAGACCGCAAGGATTATTAAGTAGGAAAATTAAATCAAAATAAGTATGAGAAATTAAAGTTGTTAGTTTTAATGTAAAAGGAACGATTTGCAACAATTAGAGAAGGACACGTCGGCTCCCTATAACATATGTCAGGAAATTCGTTCTAAACTGAAATTTACATTAATTTGCTATACATAACCACAAACTGTTTTATATCTGAAACCTAACTTGAAAAATAGACATTAATTAAGATGTCCCTTTCAACCTCAAGTTTCAACTTAAAATTTGAGTCGTTCCAGTCCTCTAACATACAAACGAAATGCAGTCATAGTTAAGAAATACAAGTCAGACCTAGCTGTTTATCATGGATTTTAAAAATTATATGCAAAACCTAAAATTTAACGACAAGTCTAAAGTTTGCAAAAATAAAATGATTTTGAACTGAAAATAAATCGAGAATAATGTAAGATATGGAAATCATTCAACGCTGGCGAGGGATTCGGAACGAGTTAGTGTTTCCTTATTTGTGACAAAGCAGAGAAGGCCTGGGTATCAGGCTGTACAGTATAATAATGTGAGTTTTTAAAGTGGGACACTAGGAGACTTCATCATGTGGTGGGGAATGCTGAGAGGAATTATTGTTAACACAGTGTAACTAAATTGTTCACTATATGTATTGATCTTATGTTTGGTGACAAATACATGTACCCGGTACCAGTACTGAAAACATTTAGCACCATTTGTTCACTCTCATAATGCACCTATCAATGTTAACCCCGAGGGAGGGGGGGGGGGGCGTCGGGCAAGGGGGGGGGGATTTGACAATTTTACAAAAAAAAATGTTAAATGCCACTGCCTCGGGAGAACATTCCTGAAGTATTTGGTTTCTGGTGCACTCTATATGTCAGGTGATAGGGAAATTACACAAAATACATTTGGCGGTATAATTTAAAAGTATAACAAATATAAAGAACGTTTCAAAATAACTTAAAATACTCAATAATAATTCATATACCTTGCGGCAAATCATGCCAGCCATATTATGTCACGTGAAGTGAGTTTACAATATCTGATAAAACACTAGCCTGTGTTCCAGTCCGTTACACCACGGTTACAATAGACTGGAACACAGGCTAATAAAACATAATTAGTATTCTTATATAATTATATTGTCAGTATTCTTATATAATTGTTCGCCCTAATTAGTATTCTTTTGTAGTCGTATTTTAAGTTGTGCGCCTCGCGTTTGATATCTGATAAAACACACTCTTACTCGTGTTTTAAATAGTACATAATGTGAACTTTTAACATATAAGTATAAATCGATATTAATATAATTATAAAATGGCTTATAAGTATTTATTTCTTGTCCAGAAATCTCCATATTTCTTGTAAAAACAACGCGCGAGACATTCTCGTACCCAGAGCCCTTCTTAAGCCCGTTCTCCACTAGGCGAATTTGTTCGCACGACGCGAAGCGAAAACCGAAATCCGGCAACGTGATTGGTCGGCGAAAAAATTCGCGGCGAAAAAGTAGGATCGCTTCCTACTTTTTATCTGTTCGCGCGAATAAATTCGCCTAGTGGAGAACGGGCTTTACGCGCGGTCAACCGAGCGCGACGAAGGGCTCTGAAGGGCTCTGGCCAAATCCGTAACCGGATTTAACCGGATACCATACAAAACATGGTATCCGGTTAAACACTGCGCATGCTCAACGTCAAACGCGGATAAACACAACGTCAAACAAACACCGCGGAAAAACGTCTGCGCATGCACCAAATTATGAAAATATGGCGGGGAATTTGAATATCAATTTCTAAAACAAAAACATGCTTATTAATTGGTCAAAAATTAGTAAAACAAACGAGAAAATATAGCAAATGGGTAGACTAGACATTAATTGAAAGCGTCCTGGCATTTAAAGTATGGAATGAAATAGAATTCATGTAAAAAATTGTTGATTTTAACGGACACGACTTCGAAACTTTTTGCAAAATTATTCAAAACAAAAATTCAAACTCAAAAGTTAAGAAAACTCTCGAAAAGTTAAGCTTCTTAACCCACTCAAATTGTAGAATAAATCCTAAAGTTTAATTATTGTGAACACGAAATTTTTTTATATTTGGCGACACAGTTTTTTTTAAAGAAATGTATCTCAAACGAAAATTCGGAAATTGTCGTTGCTTAGTTGATAAACAAAATGTTTCAGACGATAAATTTGTTAACAATCACCTTTAGTTCATGTTCTTGTACAATACAACTTGAACCTTCTGGCTGTATTTATTCCTAGTTTTTAGAATGACATGTTTATTTTTGCGCTCGAAATCTGGCTGTAAAGACGCACAATGAAGTCACTCCTTTTTACCGCCATTTTGAGCCTTCGGAAACGTTCGGAACAGCTTCTCATCAAGTTCGCAATACTATTACAGGTAAGGTTGACGCGTGCGCAGACGTTTTTCCGCGGTGTTCGTCAAACACGGATAAAACGGTTTTCTTGTTTGTTTCGTTTTGAAAGTTTTTCTCCAGGAAAACCCCACAAAAGCGGTAAGTTTCGCTAATTTTATTTATTTAAATCAATTAGTAGGTAAGACGTGATGTTCTCAATGCATGTTGATAAAAATTTAGTATATATTTCCCTCCTAAACGTTGCCAAAGCAGTAATGGCTACGGATACGAAGACGAGACTCACGAGAGATTGTCTCACTATTTTATATTCGATTTTAAGTCGCTGTTGTACAGATTTTTAGACTTTTTTTGTGTTTTATTAAAAGTCAACAGTCATACATAAGACATACTATACTGCAAATCATTTGAAAATTGTAAAAAATCGGTTTCTAGGAAGAAAATAGTCATCACAATTAACTTCATATTCTGGCTGGCTTTAATATTTTCTCTTCAGATTGCACGTCAGCTTTGAACATGTAACAGGGATTTGTTTGATTAACATCACTGATTTGGAAATACGACGAGCATCTGCCATAAAATATGCTGATTTTTTGCTATGAGAACATCACGTCTCAATCTATTAATTTCAATCAACTAATTGATTTAAATAAATAAAATTAGCGACATCTACCGCTTTTGTGGGCGATTATCAACAACAACAACCTTCCTAACTGCTTCGTACTGCTGTTCTTTCAACTTTAATAATGTCTTTTCTCCCAATTTTATCCAAAACGAAACCAACGCTTTATGGAGCGCTTGATTTTTATTCATATTTTATACAATAAACCATATATTTAGTTGTGGCCAATCAGAAGCCAGTTTGATATGGATTTGGCCAGAGCCCCTCGTCGCGCTCGGTCGAACGCGCGTAAGAAGGGCTCTGGGTACGAGAATGCGCGCGAGACAGCGAGCGATAAACTAGTGCCCAGTCTTCAGTTTGTTCCTGACTCTTCCACAGTCCCTCGTTACATTTTAGTGCGGGAGAATATGCCCGTTCGCGGGTTAGGCGGTGACAGCTACAACGCGGGCGATTGAGGACGAGTCAGAGTTTGTTCTAAAATTGGCTCAGGTTTCTTCAGTATATCGTCTGAGATCAGTGTTAATCTGTCAAAAATCCCCACCTTCGGGCCACTTAGAAAAAAAGTGTCAGTCCAAATCCCGACCCATGGGACCACCTGCTTGATCAAATCCCCCTTGCCCGACCCTCAGGGTTAACATTGATAGATGCATAATTGTCAATGCATTTGAAATCGACAACCACGTGTAGCACGATATAAAATACAATCACTGAAACCTTACCTACATGTATACAATGTTCAAGAAAGAAAACAGAAGCAAAGTCAAAATTTAAGTTATTCACTTCATTTCAATGTTTCTACTTTTAATTATTGTTTTCTCCGACTGAAATATATAGATTTAAAGTTTCATTGTTCGTTCAAACCAGAGTAGTGAGCGAAACATGATTGAAATATATACATTGAAATTGAACCCTAAGACGAATTAAAATGCAAAATCAAATGTTCTATGATGGTACTGTGCTTAAAAGACCTAATAGTTTGACATTATTATATACGTGTACATGATCTAGTATGTTCAATTCCGAAGGATACATTGTGCTAAACCTATTAATATTACCTATCTACATTGGTTTGTTTAATCCATAGAAATAATAGACATAGGCCTAATATTTCTATGGTTTAATCTTAAACTGACTAGTACATTATTTTGGGCTGCCAGGAAATGTTTAACAAAATATCTTCCCAGGAAATTTTCTTACACCTTGCAGGAAATGTTTGCCATCTTATATACAGGAATGCCGTAATGTATAATTTACTAATTGTTGTTTGAAAACTCCAAATTAAGCATTTTGCAAGTCGAGATGTGTGGCATCATAGTCCACACGTTCTGTGAAATTTACATAAGATTTTATAATTGACTTACACAGGAAATTTTAATTTTTGAATTTTGCTGCCAGGAAGATATTTTCTAGCTGTACATGCATGTACTGTATGGTGCACAGCTAGTAATTTAATTGTGTTTTTTTATTCTTGCTGCTATACCCATGTTCTTCAGTCACTCATTTTCGGATTTTCCCCAAGTATTTTGTGCAGGAAAATGTCTATTGTTGCATTATCGTCATACAGATTTCTGAGGCCGTATTTATTTACACATAATGTAAAGTATCTCCTTAAATAAAGGTGATACTTTCTCCCACCACAACAGCAACAGGACCACTTGGATGAGATGTGATGAATGGGCACCATGTCGCATCCGTCTTCTTGCAAAAAAACGGCGAGGTCTCCACTTCGCATGTCTCAGTGTAGCAAACAAGATAATATGAACGACGGTTATCCTCGACATCGGTTAAGACAATTATTTTACGAATGATATAGTGAAATACCGTCCCACAGACCTCGTGCCCTTCTGGTAGTTTTATTGTCGACTTCAGATTTCCTTCCTCGGAGTAGAAGTTAACAGCCGTCCTATCACTTGATGATGATATGATTTCAGCTGTATTTGAAGTAGCCAACCTGGTTACGCCAATGATGTGTCGATCAAACGTGTGTTCTAATTGTCCCACAGGGTTCGTATAGCGGTCTTTGAAATCCTTGAAAGTCTTTAAATTGGAATGCAGGTCTTTGAGGTCTTTGAAAAGTCTTTAAATTGTGTGAAAAAGCGAAGAAAGTCTTTAAAAGTCTTTAAATTCTTTAGTGAGGAATTGATTATACGATTTCCTAGCTAATAAAATAGATTGATTGAATCAAGATTTTCGGAAATATCGACGAAAATGCGCATTTTAGGATGTGATTTGACGGGACTAATTACTGGGTAAAAATGGTGCTTACACCGCAATTTTTCGACAGCTGATTGCTCTCAAAGGTCTTTGAAAAGTATTTGAAAATAGGCAGAAAAAATCTTTGAAAGTCTTTGAATTTTTTTGGTCCTGGAGACTACGAACCCTGCCCACATTGTCACAGACATAGACATTGGAATCACCGTCTTTGATCATGATGATGTTATTGTTCCTCATGTTTATAGTGATCCTCACCGCACGGATATATGGGTGTGTAACCTGAAAGAAATCAAATCTGCACTCGTGTTTTACATTATAATTTTCATCCAACACATTCAGCAAGTAACTGTCCACGTCGCTATTTTCTGTAGGTGTCTTAAGCCATCTAACAACATAAACGTTGTTATTCTTATCAACAGCGAGTCCAGCGATACCTTGGTCGATAACTTGTCCAGAATCTGGTAATTTAACCACCTTGCTTTCTGCTGCAGTTCTCGAAATCACCTTGATGTTGTGTCCCGAAAGCTCTCCAACAACCACATTCCCATGACTGTCCACAGCAGATAAACGCGGATATATTTTGCAATCAAGTATAAGCTGCTTGGGAGGTTGACTCAATTCATCGCCCATAGACCTTCTTGTCGAAACCTCCTGCCAATCTAACATTGGGTTAAAACTGCGATCAACGAGTTCAATGCCAGGCCATGTTGGCCAGCTGTCAGTAAGTGTGCGACTGAATTTGAATTTAAGATTAAACAAAACATAGTTGATCAGCATCACAGATTTTACGTTCTCTACTCGTTCCGCTTTACCCAACAACGACTTGACACCGCCATTGAGATAAACGTAGAAAATCTCACGGATAGCTGGTAAGCTATGTAGATCTTGAAGAAACGACAAACACCCTGTGATGGCGGTTTGAGGACTATCGAGCCATTCCAGTATCTCAGAAACAACACGTAGTTTGGCGGCGAAAATTCTATCGTAAATATTTAATGCCTCGTTGCAGAAAGCATAGGTTGCGCTCTTACGGGCTTCCTCGAATCTTTTCTTAGCGGATTCAAACTCTTTATCTGAGTAGACTTTCATCTTTCCTATGGCGTGCGAAAGTTCTAAGGCTTCGCTCAAGATCCCAGACTCGACACCGCTCGACATTCTTGATGTTTCACCACGGTCGTGTTGAGTTGGGTCCATCAAAACTTTCTGCTCCAGCTTAGATTTATCAAGAGAAACGTAGAGTAAATCTATTCCTTCTTTCAGGAATCGGGAACTGCTGAGTAAATTTGCACGGGAAAGACCATCAAGTTTCGTCTTGATGTCGTTCAGTTCTCTCACGCGAGCTCGCGTGGTACAAATGTTTGTTTTTTGTATTGGACAATTTGAATTTGAGGTACTGGCAGTTAAGCACTATCAATTGAGAAAATAAGTAATATCACCCTTTTAACATCATGCCTGCAGATTTTATTTTTTGTGAAGGTAGCTAATCTTTAAAATAATGGAGGTACAGTAAGGGGTTTAGCGATCACCAAGCGAACAAAAACTAGTAGCGTGGGGACGAGAATGGATATTGAAATCAAACTCCAACTAACGTACGACTCTGAGAGATCCTGCCCCATTCGCTTTTTGATTTGGCTGAATTGCTTTTTTGCGGTATGACTGTTTAAACGCCATGCATGTTTACATTAATGATACTGTAATGTAGCTGCAGTCCTTGTAAATGGTTTTGGTGTTGATTTGTAATCCCAGAATTCTTAATTCAAGGTTTTGAAAGCGCATATTTTGGCATTTGAGTTTGGAGCTTCTATAGCCCTCTTAGACTATGAAGGTATAGCATTGCTCCGTGGCTCCCTAACTCTATACTACAGCCATAATTTTATTTCAGTTTACAAATGTGATGAAAAGAAACTAGTTGTCGTCCAGTTAAGAGCACCGCTTGCAAAGGTAATGAATGCCAAACATTAGAATGAAATATAATTAATTAATTAAATAGATCAGAATATGATCATTCGACTCAAAATAACGGCTGGTCACTGGTCAATCACAGCGTGATTTTAGAGATATTGTGGATCCAGTCAATGCCAATTTGTGCAGATTTTCTTGATGTTTTACAGGGAATTCTTCTTCGAAATCAAGTGACAATAGTATCAATACCAGTACAATAGCATAATTAGCTAGGGTTACAAGTGCGATATTGTTCTCGCGCGCGCAACGCAACGGGTCGATCAAATTTGATCGCGTTGCCGACGCAAGAGAAGTCGCAACACGTTCAATTATTTTTTTCGTCTGGTCAGACTAGTGCAAAGCCAGAGTTTTACTGTTTTAGAAATCGAGACTAAAATCATGATTTCATGACAATATTTAGCGCTCTTAATTTTAGCCACACGTTTAAAAGTTTGATGACTGTGAAGTGTGGTTTGATCCATACAAACAAAAATATTATGTTAGCTGACTAATACAGTCAGCTGTAATTTGATATCGTTGCTAATCATTTTAACTTAAAATTGCGTTGTACATGATACACGTGCGATGATTTCTTCATCCGTTGGTCATCATGACCGGCTTGTCATGCAGGGCTCAAAATAATGGGAGATAGGTCTCCGGTCAAAATGACCGGTCAAAATCTGTTTTTGACCGGTCATTGATACGCTTACACTAACAGTGAAACAAGCTGTTAGAAACTTATTTCGATACATCATAGTTTCATGTTTTAATTCAATTAAGACGTCAGCAATCACATTGGAAGGCGTGAAAATGTGGACCGGTGAGGGAAAAAAGTGACCGGTCAAGAGGCATTTTTGGCCGGTCATTGTCCGTTGACCGACCGTTATTTTGAGCCCTATGACATATGTAACTTTTATTTCGAGCCTTGGTTTATATAAGACAGAATAATTAGGGCGGCGCAGTTTTTGATAAACTGAAAAAACTTTGTTTTTAAAAGCCGATTTAACCGGCTTTACCTTTGGAACAGTCGTTCGTTCAATGTTAGGTTAAATGTTGAAAACGGAGCTGCTACAGAGTGAAGCAGTTGTGGTATGAACCTAAGCCTGCACTCAAAGTGTGCACTAACCCTGAATTTTCAAACTAAATTTGCTTGATACGTGTTTTAGGGTTGCAGACAAATATTTTGTGACCGTATTGTGAGGTGGATTAAGGAATGTCGCATTAAACAAACCGTTTTGTTGACGAGTTGTATTGCCAGCGAAAGATTGGACTCGCAAATTCAAAGGTATGGTCGAGGATGTAAAAACCACGTTTAAAGTTTGAGATTTTCGCCTTACGGAACAAACTATTGTACAGTTATTTATCAAGCATATCAGCTAATTATTCCCAATAACAGGTATATAAATAATTCCAAGCACTGTATAAATCATTTTTTATTTCCAAGCATGTGAGAGCTAACTGAGCTCAATTTTGAAGGACATAGTTCAAACCTGATCAAGTCGGATCATTGAACACGGCCACGATCGAAGGCTTAGTTTGGAGCTTATTCAAACCCACATTCCCTGTGGAGGAAACCAGAATACCCGGAGAAAACCCACGACTTTCTTTACATTAATGTCATGAATCCGCAGAAAGAATCCAAACTGCAGTTATCCTGCGATTGGAGAGGAAAATCATCTGGTGTTAGAGTAAAATAAGACTCGTACTTCGAACATTAACACTGTAGTTGCTTCGTTCTTCACGAAGCAAGGGAAGTTGACAGGGGATGGAAGATGTATCAGGCCACGGGTCCCAGAATTCGAGAAATGTTCTTGAGTTCCCAGAAAATATTTCCCGAAGAAAGAAAAAAAAGATGATTGTAAAAATTTAGAGAAAAGGAGAGATTCAGGGGGGAAATTCTGACCAATAGAAAGAATGTTACCTCTTTTGTTGGTATGACCTCAGAAATGCAATTATAAGTGCATCCGTCTTAATAGTGTAAATACTGTATAAATGTAGTATCAAGTAGACTATATATAGAATGATGTAACAAATGTTGCATGGCAAATGCATTTTTTAGCCAATTTGAGACACCTGATTTTCTGGGGGAGCATGTATCCCCCTGGTAGTGGCCCCCCCCCCCTAGTTGTGTCCTTTTTTTGCGTCTATGTTTGCCTTGGGATCAGACCTCCGATGCATGTTATCAAAATTAGTTTTACAGTATGTCATATCCCTAAGAGTATTATTAAGATTGTCAGTGAACTGAAATTAGTTTTTTGACAACTCGTTAGTGTCACACAGTTACAGTGTCCAATTAGCCTTTCTCACGATGACGAATATCCGCCATTTTTGGGTGGCATCTAATTCTCGTTAACCAATGCAGACAATTAAAACAATGTGAAAAGCAATTTTTCAAAATAAACTAACCATTTACAAAGCAAATTTACCATCATTCGTCCAAAAAATTATAAAAAGTCACTGTTATGTGATCTTATCTCGCAGACTTCGGCTGTAAAGACACCCAAAAATGGCGGCGGGAGAAAGGCTAATTGTCGATTACTTGATTATTGGCAGAACATTTTCTATGTTCTCTTGCGTTCCCAGCAACTAAAATATATTTTCCACCCCTGGAAGCTACAGTAGTTGGTCCTTTCACGGTTAACCGTGGTCCTTTGAAAGGCCATACCCTCCAGAGTTATGAAAGAAGAGACGAAGCAAATCAGAAAGAACTGCTGAAGATACCAATAAGACAGAGAATACCTTTACTCCTTTGCTATGAATTTTTGGCCAATACTAAAATTCATACAGTATTTGCAATCTTATAGAAATCTTATAGAAATCTTAGAACCACAGGGACTTAATGGCCTTCATTCTATTTCTTAGTGGACCATTTCGATATTTGCTATCTCCTGAAACTCAACATCTGAATGAAATATTCCAAAAGAATTTTAACTGGAGATGTCTTGAAGAAAGGAATGGTACAAATATTTGATTTTAAAAGATATACTTTAAAACGTCTAATGGCCTGTTCATTTGAGCCCGATTTCCGGGGAATATACCGCCTTGGTGAGACTACCTTTCGAGATTGTATCACAAAAAATTGAGCATTCCCCACTCAGGTACGGGTCTCTGTATATATCAATGTTTGTGTTTGTCATAGGGAGGGGGGAGGGAGGTTTAACTACGTTACCCGCGATGACTTTTAGTTGGCATGAGCAAACCAGGAGCCCAACAATAATTTGGAAAAACCTAGTGCTCTCAAAGATCTTTACACGATTTATTAAATAACTTCCCTTAAGAAATATTAACTCCCTGCCTGCTGTATATGTAGTGCAATGGTTCTCGTAAGTGTCTGTTACATCCGAAAGCAGGGTGTGATTCTTAGAAATGTCTTCATTTTGTCTTCACATTTTCCCGTCTGATTTCAGGTGAAGAAAGAAGCGAGTCTGATGTTTTCTTACCTGGTGGGGGAGTATCGAAACGATTTTATAAAACATGGTAATTGCATGGTAATTTTACTGCATGTGAATAGGTAACAATATTGCGCAAACGGTATTTTCCCCTATGGTTCCGCTTTTGTTCCCTTCTTTTCCCTTTAACCCCTAGTGAGAATACATACCATCAATATAGATAACAACCAGTAGCGTAGCCAGCCCGACGATTTAGTCCCGTTATGCAAATATTTTCGTGTTCATTGACTGTGAAAACAATAAATTTTTAAAGAAATGAATAATGATAATAATTTTGAATTTGCATAGCGGGACTAAATCGGCGGGCTGGCTACGCCACTGATAACAACCAAAATCTGTTCAATAGTTGTAGGGAAAATATTCCACTGGTGACACTGCTTGTATTCTGCGCTGAAGGAGACAATATACCTGATGCTATGATTCTGCTCTATTTTGTTAATATTTGGTTACAAATGAAAGTTAACAAGGTATTGGTGTTTTAATGTTTTTTATCCGGAGTTGGCAAAGTTTAAACATTTTTATTATATGGCAAGCATCACTTCCGGTGAAATGGCGGGCTGAGAAGCACTTTCAGCGTCCGTTATTTTCCCGTAATGGACCGGCAGTCCATTACGTAAAAACAAACGCATGTATTTTAAAACAAAACAGCAAAACTAACTGAAAATTTGAAAGTTATAATTTAATTTGTTATTAATAAGAGATTTGATAATTAATTAATATCTGCGAATGGTTTTAATTAAGTGGAAAGGAAGGAATACATTGGTAATTTTTGTTTTCTTCGACCAAATGTGTACCACGCTACTAGTATGCATTTCAAATCATGCATTTCTTGTTTGTTTCGAGTATAAATGCCACATAATAAACTTTTTATTAACCTCGCTTGCTCGGTCGTTACAGAGAAATATCGGACCTCGGCCTTTTTGTACAAACCTGGCCCTACGGGCTCGGTCTGTACAAAAAAGACCTCGGTCCGATATTTCTCTGTAAAGACCTCGCGCTCGGTTAATAAGAAGTTATTACACAATTATAAGTACACCAGCGTATGGATTATAGCGGTTGGGATTAATTTTATGGCCGATTAATTTTATTCTTTACGGACATTTTGACCTATTAAATATAATACAGTTTCCATTTAAATGGAAGGTATATTATTTGATTAGTACTTCTGAAAAAAAAACATGATGTCAAGAGAAGTAAATTATTTATGCAAATTATATTCATAAAATAAACACGTCTATTAATTGTATTTATAAATAAAACTTTTTCAACACTGAAATTATACTAAAACAATTAGTCACCTCAGACTCGGTGATTACAAGCCTATATATTCGCCTCGCCTTCGGTGACTAATTGTTAATTAGTGTTACTCAAGGCTCATTGTACCAAAAAGTAACATTACATCTTTATGATGCGTGATTTTTCTCAACAGGCGAAAATAATATTTTACATAAACTTTTTTTATTCTTAATTTATTTGTTAGCACGACGCTGCTTCTGATAAATTACAGATGAACAAAGGTGAGAATCGGTTGTCAAGCTTTTAATATTACACATTTGTGTGAGACGGTTAGCGGCGCTGGCCCTATGTCGCTCATATGGAAATACAAAACATTGGCGATTCTGAATACGGTTAAGTTAACATTCTTATTTAACGTTTGTCGTTTCGACTAACTTGCAGTCATCCTTGGGAATGACGCTGCTAATTTTCAAATAGCTATATACAAGATCAAATGACATGTGATATCTTAGTTAAAGATTACAAATTAAGAACTACTCAGTGGTAACCGTAACTGTTCATATATGAGCCCGCTTGTACTTATAGGAAGCTTCCAATTGAAGTAATTTTAGTATTTAAGTAAGTTAGCTCGTTTAGCCAGATCCCGGCTGTGTAAACCTAGACCATAAGTATTGCATAGGCGGGATGAACAATTCTTTATATGAACACGACAGACCGCTTACTGGGTTGAAATCAAGAAACAAAATTTCTGATTTTGCTTTTAATTTGACAACGTTTACTTGGTTTTATGTTTGTTTTGCAAACAAATATTAAATATGTTGCTATAAAGCAATGCTTTTTCTTGCAAATAAATGAAGACAAACACCATAATCGTTACGTACGGTGGCCCGTTAGGGACACGCTTGTTCCGTAGAAAATCACATTCGTTCTGTCTACTTGAAGTAGTTTTCCTTAATAACAGAGCGTTTCTGTATAAATGTGCGGAGTTTCCGTAGAAAATTCAGACGACTTCTGCAGAAATATAGAC